ATTATTTATAAGAGGCCGGAAAATGTTCTCGGAATGGGTTGAAAGATGGCATGCGGTGTTGTTTTGTTGTCAGTAGGCCGCCTGCCAAGTTTCATCGCATTCGGAGTCCGTTTGACGCCCCAACGGATAACTATAGCGGCATTATAGTCGCTCTAACGTCGGACGTTTTCGGTCTCCGAAAACCGTCATCGGGCTGCACCCTTTCTCCTCTCTCCTCTCAGCCCAAGCCTTCATACACAGCCCACCTGCAGCCCACCTAAACCTCCACTTCGATCGGAACCGTTCGATTGCGATCGGAGGCTCCGAAACGGAGCAAGTCCCCTCAAACCCTAACCCCCATCCTTATTTAAACACCCTCCACATGCCATTTTGGCCTCCTACCTACCCCCTCCTCAAATTCTGCAGCCAGCCGCCGTTTAACCCCTCGGATCTGGCGCCGCCAGCCCACCTTCGCTACTTGGTGCGCCACCACTCGCCGGCGCCGCCACCTGACCGCGCCTCAACCACTCAGCGCCCTCCACGTCGCACCACTGTCTCCCACCTCGCGCAGGGCCCGCAGAACCCAGATCGGGGCCCTGGAAGCCCATCTAGGCCCGAACGAGTCCACCTCGCTCCCCGTCGCTCGAGCCTTCGTCCTCCTCGCCTCACTCGGCCAGCGCCTCCCGCCGGCGAGCCTCGCCACGTCGTCCTCCGGCGACCCCATCTCCGCGCCTCCTTCCTCCGCGACCGGACCCCGTCGGGACCCCGCGCCATGCCGCATCCACGCCCTCTGCTGCCCGGAAGCTCGTCGCCATCACACGCGCTCCCGTCCTCGACCTCCGGCCTGATCTGCTCCGCCACCCTCTGGATCCGTCGCCGACGCTCGTCCCCATCGTTCCCGCGCAGGATCCGGAGAGCCACCGCCTGTCCCCGACCCTCCTGCGTCACGTCGTCGCCGCCGGAGAGTGTCGTCGCGCCGTGCCCTGGTCGAGATCGAGCAGGCCCCCTCGCCTCGCCTGCCTGGGCCTCCTCCGGCCTCACGGGCCTCGTGGGCCACGGCCACGTCCAACCGCCTGCCCAAGGCAAAGTTCGCCCTGGCCACCACGACCTCCTGCAGCCTAGTACCCCCCCCCCCAGGCCCATGGTGAGACGTCCCCAGTCCTGCGCCCACTGCACTATGCAGCCCAGTCCGCCTGTGTTTCGTCCCGTGCATGTTTTTTTCCTTGCTGCAGATTTATCTTTTATTTCCAGAGAACCAGTTTTACAGGAAGCCCCCTAGACTTCATGCATATTATAACTCAACAACCGTGCATCAGATCTAAATAAATTATATATGTAACTTGCTTAGAATTTTGTCTAGTTTCATAATTTCCAACTGACATGCATGTTTAAAATTTTTAAAATGTTGTTTATGTAATTTTGCCCATATGCCATGCTAAAATGCTTTAATTCATAACTAAATAACCGTAGCTCGGTTTTAAATAAACTTTATATGTAAATGGGGTAGAAAAATGCATAGTTTAACATGACGACTTTACTTTGCATGTTTAAAAACTCTAAAATATGGTTTAGGGAAGAACACTACCAAATCTAATATATGCTCATGAGGATTTTCTGGAATTGTTGTTTGTTATTTCCGGCCTCATTTAAACTTGACTAGATAGTTAGTTTAATTATGCTTCACCCCTTGCCATGCTAACCAACATTTAATTTTGTTGAGTACATAAACGGGAGAGAACTAAATAAGTCATGTGTTGTTTCGTCAATGTGCAACTCGTTGCATATTGAGCTCCACTTAACTTATAGTTTTGCTTGTGCACTTTGCCATGTCATGCCTCATTAAACCGGACATGCATCATACTTGGTTGGAGTTATCTTGGGTTATATTTCACCTAAGGAATGTTCGGTTATATTTCACCTAAGGAATGTTGCTATTGTGGTGCTTATCAATAATCAAAGTTTCCTCCTATTCTTGCGATGAAAGAATTTTTCGTCTCTTTGTTGCTCTCAAGCAAGCAAACTTTCTCGATTAGTGAAAAAGTTTCAGGTGCTCCCAAAACGTGTATGCTACCGTGATACGAGCTTTTAGGCCATTGGATCTCACATCAGACGGCATCTTACAAGCATTTGTCTGCATGCAATTTTGAGAGTCTTCAAGAGCTTTTTGTAAAATGTTCAAGAGCTCCTGAAAGCCACTGGATCTTAGATCCAACAGCTCTCAGCAGCCTATATCACGGTAGCATATAAGCCTTGGCAGCATCGGATATTTCTCTTAGCATTCACATAGGGCCCAGCCTATAATAGGATCTTAGATCCAACAGCTCTCAGCAGCCTGTATCACGATAGCATATAAGCCTTGATAACACCGGATATTCCTCCTATCATTCACATAGGGCCCAGCCTGCAATAGACAGGCTACAGCAGATCTGCTCATCCAGTTTAATCTCCTTATTCTGTGTGCATAGAGATAAAGCTTGCTCTTATATTTAGATAAGAGAGATATTTTTCTCGGTGCTTCCCTTTATCGGCTTGATCTTCTTCTGCCCCTTGGTAGAGTGAGCCTATTTAGCGAACTGGCAGGACGCGGAGATCGATTGATCAATATGCATATCGAGCATCTATAGTTACTCTCTCTTCCCAAAAGATATCTCATGTCACTTCAGCCAGAGGTCGAGGACCACTTCAAATGGTTCGTCCGCGTTTCTAAATAAATGGTCCGAGCGCACCCAGGTTTCTTCAACCCCCAACACGATAATAACTGGCAAAAAAGACGGGGAAAAGGATCTCTTGCATCTCTGCTGGAAAAAGGGCTGAGAAAAAAAGGGACCATGCAAGCCCAAGAGAGCGCTGCACATTATCCTTCATGTTTTCCGTGCTCTCGTGACTGAGCACAGCAGTTGCTTAGGGCATCTCCAGCCGTTGGCCCCCCCAGGACGCATAAAAATCGCCCCCTAGGGGCGAGCCGGCGATACACTCGGCGCTGGGGGCGGTTTTGCGCTCAGTCGTCGCCCCCAGGCGCCGAAATTGGCCCACTTTGCAGCCCAATTTCGGCGAATAAAGGGCCCATATGGGCGAGAATAGGCCCATATTCGGCATGGTTTCGCCGTGTCTCGGCATTCAATTATGGGCGTATTTCATCAAATATTTCTTATCACATATTTCAATCATAGAAAAATCAAATACTTCAACAAAATAGTACAACAACAAATAGATCAATACAAATTATATAGTTCAACAAATAAAAACTCGTATTTCATCACACGGCGTCTCCCTTGAGCCTCCATAGGTGCTCAATCAGATCTTTCTGCAGTTGATGATGCACCTGTGGGTCTCGGATCTCCAAGTTCACCGGAGGAGAATGGCCCTCAACGAGCTTGGCAAAAACAGGAGAGCACTGCAGCACGTTGATGTCATTGTGAGTTCCTGGCATACCAAAGAAGGAGTGCCAAATCCAGAGGTCCTGTGTGGCTACCGCCTCAAGCACCACACTGCAACCGCCTTTGGCGCCTTTGTACATCCCCTGCCAACCAAATGGGCAGTTCTTCCATTTCCAATGCATGCAGTCGATGCTTCCAAGCATCCCAGGAAATTCTCTTGCTGTGTCTTCCGCATTGGGTGTTCTCAAGTATTGTGGCCCAAACACTGCCACCACTGCCCGACAGAACTTGTAGAAACACTCTATGCTGGTGGACTCGGCCATCCGCCCATAGTCGTCGAGTGAATCACTGGGAGCTCCATATGCAAGCATCCTCATCGCTGTCGTGCACTTCTGGATGGAGGTGAATCCAAGAGCGCCAGTGCAATCTATCTTGCACTTGAAGTAGTTGTCAAACTCTCGGATGGAATTCACAATCCTGAGGAAGAGCTTTCGGCTCATCCGATAACGGCGCCGAAATGTTCTCTCGCCATGAAGTGGAGCATCGGCGAAGTAGTCGAAGTAGAGCATGCAATAGCCTTGGAGACGATGCCGGTTCTTTGCTTTCACCCGCCCCGGCGCCGAGCCACCTCGCCGCGGCTTTTCATTGCTCGCCAGCAGCTGGGCGAGGGCGGCGAGCACCATGAGATGCTCTTCTTCCTGGACGTCGGCCGCGGCTTCCTCCTCCAGCAGCGCGGCGAGCTCTTTCTCCTCATCCGAGTCCATCACCAAGACAGGCAAAACGCCGAACACCTTGCGCTCGGTGGGCGTGTACCCGCCGTTAAACCGCGCCTCCGCGGCCAGAAACGGCGGCCGAAAACGCCCAGCTGCTGTGGGAGGGGCTGCCGCTGCGAAGCGCTGCTATTTTCCGGCGGGGAATGGCTATCTAGCGAAGTAGGCGGCGGCCGTCGCCGGGATATAGCTAGTGATGGCCGAGGGCGCGGAGGGTGCGAGGCAAGTCGGGGAAAGAAAACCTTGACTTTTTCCCTATCGGTGTGGGCCAGGCGTGCTTTTCCCTAGCGCCGGAGCCCCCAACTGCTCCCCAGCACGCCGGGTTCGGCCTGTGACCGCCGGGCGGAAAAAAGGTCCGAACCGGAAAAGTGGCCTGAGGGGGCCTGTTGGGGGCGCGGCTGGAGATGCCCTTAGAAGTTCAAACACCAAAGAGATGATGAAATTTTCTCAGCAATTACGAATTGGCTCCAATATGCTTTGTTTCACAATCAGTTTCCACAGATCACCCACGAGACCAAAACCATGCTCGTGATGCAGACAATACACCGTTACCGACATTGCGAATGATCTCAAGTCCAAATCGGCAATGAAAATGGTAAAATACTACAAGCATTCAACCAGGAAAACGTTTCCACCGTGTGCTCTATTCCGAGAGGGCAGCCCATCAATGCAATGCTCACACAGGATAAACATAAAGGAGATTCCTAGCTAGAGGCAGGTGTAGCCACCAAAATGGCCCGAAATGCTGAGATTCGTGCATAAATAAATACTGGAAATTTCCTATTATTTGTAATGATGATAGGACTTTCAGTCTTCCTTGTCCATGTATACCAGCCAGCCTTCATATGGAATACTGATCTACCAATGCCAAAGCTCATCGACGTCGCTTCACTGGGCTGGGGACGGTTGGCAAAACGGTCGTAAACTTGAAGTTGCCAGAGAACACAGCTTCTTTATCTGTTGTTGAAAAGTTTAGGGAGTGCAGAATTTAGTCAGTTTAATATTCAACAAGACGTTTTTCAATTTAAGGAAAGCGAGAAGAAAAGCTAGTGTGTTTGTATCTCACATGCATGGGAGATAGAGATGGGAGAATTAGTCAACACTGACCTGTCAATGATAGGCAAGTTGCCTCCCTCCGAGTATATCTTGCCAATGCCTGAGATTCAACAGAACAGGTAGTCTTAGGTTTTGTAAAATATGGCACGTAATCAGCTACTTTCTAAAGCTGTCTCCATCAGAGAAGGAACTTGCCTGGACAGCAGGGGTAGCAGCTGCGTCCATAGGCTCTGAACCTTCGTCAGCGTACACATTCCTAACAATTCAACACAAGTAACTATCATACATAAGGGCAGTGCTAGATTATGAAAGAAATACAGTCCACAATTTACACAGCTACATCACATAATTACTATGGTGCCATAACCAGAAAGTTGCCGCTTTGATGTTAGAAAGCTGCAGTGCTAACTAATACTCCCTCCGTCCCATAATATAAGAGCATTTTTGACACTAGGTGTAGTGAACTACTGCTTTCCTTCATAAAACATTTATTTTCCAGGAAGTATTTAATTTCCTTGACAATAATGAACTGGCCTCATAAGAACAATGGCTGATCACTAAGATAAGATAACACATATTTTATCTTCTGGTCGATAGGTGCCATAAATATATTGAACAAACATCAGCCTAGATGATTTAAGACTAGTGTCTTTATTTATTATTATATTTTTCTTACTCCTATTATATAGGAGAAGACCATGTGACCTGTATCAGGTATTATATCACAAAGCCACAAGAGAGGCTGGATCTTGCAATTAGTTGGGACCTTGGATAATGGATTGCCTATTTTTCATCTTTATGAAACAATCAGCTACATATTTAGAGAAGGTAACTGAACAATTACCTCCAGATGACATTTACAAGATCATCCTGGCTTGCTTCTGGGCTTATTGCAGTATCATATTTCACAATGTTCCCATAGAATATTTTTTCTAGCTCTTTCATCCATTTTGTCAATAGCAAGTTGACCTGTAGACACACTAGTATGTCACACATGAACTTTCACAACAAAAAACAATAGCATGCATAAAGAGAAATCAGTCTTCATATTATGCAAGACGAAGTGAAAAGATGACCAACACTATGGATTCCAGGCTTTATAAGATTAGTTGCATTATTCATTTTTATTACACAAAAATAGTGATGTCTTTTCAGTATTTTACACATAATACCAGCTTTTTCCTCACAAGCAAAACGAAGTTCTACTTTTGTTCCATATACTTGTAAGTCATGATAATGGGTTAACAAACTGCCACAAGTTCAACCTTTCAATCTAGCACTCCCTCGTTTGAAAACATTTGAAGTTTGACCAAGTATATAGAAAAATATACTAATATCTAGAATATCAAATATAATATGAAAATATATTTTGTGAGCAATCTAATGAAACAAATTAGGTTTTGTAGATGTTAACATATTTTTCGCTAGACTTGGTCAAACTTAAATAAGTTTGACTTAGGACAAACCTAGAACTTCAAATATTCTGAAAAGAGGGAGTACGTAAACTATGGTGATTCCATCTCCCTGTGCCATAAACAACCCTGTGCAAAAATGACAGTAGGATTACAGCCAGAACAATGGCTGTACAGTACAAATATATCCAGTGCAAATACAGCCAACGCAAAAAATGACAGTACAACAACAAATTGGAAATATAAATAACCAAGTGCATCACCACTCACATCATAAAACATCCAAACATTTGCTGATATATCCCAATGGGAACTAGGAATAACATGTAGGTTATGCTTCTTGCCGCAAGTCCCAACCCCAGATAGATCACACTTTCCAAGTTTGACTAATGTGTTGTGCCATAGTTTGATGGCATGGCACCTAAGCATGATGCACTGCCGATACACTAGTTTGGTTCCTTTGCTAGACCGCTCTCTATATAAGTGTGTCCAGCTGTGTATCGCATACACAAATGAAGACGTACCATTTAGATAGGTTGAGCATTTCTCCAGTTCTTTTTTGACACTGGTGGACAAAGAAAGCACAATCTAGTACTATTTAGCTTCTTGCGTTCAACCAGCAAACTTTATATCCCCTTAGGGTATAACATCTCTAGCAGATAATGTATAAAGAAGTCTGGCATCAAATGTACATGATGGTAATGGTGTGTTGCTAATCAACGTTCATTAGGACGATTAATAAGGAGGATTAAAACCATCAGATTCAATAATTAGGATAACAGGATGTGTGGATAATTTAACCTCGGATATATATCAATTTTTCAGAATTATGGATGACCTACCCCAGCCTTAGAAACTCTGAGCTCCACATCATGATTGTAAGTTTCATAGATGTACTGTCCAAATTTAACACCGTCCTTTCCTTCTTCCTTCAAGCGACGTAGAACGAGCCACATATGGAGAACAAGCAATGAAAATGTTGTTTTAAATGTTTTCTCCAACTGAAACACTGCAAAAGAGAGACATCAGAAATTGCTGTCTCCATAAATATCAAACATAAAAAGGAGTGAAATGATGTGGTTAACTTCAATTAAACGCAAATGACACGATATCCCAGCCCAATTTCATTAACAATAAGAGGCTAGAATTCACAAAGCACTTCATGTTTATCAGCCGTAAGTGTTTATTGACAGAAAGCCTTAACACACAACATGACATTCAAATGGATTATTCTTTATACTCTCTAAGAATGCAATTGCACAAGCATTTCTTTACCTTCCATAAACATACAAAAATAGCAAATGTAATGTACCTCTATAAACCGGATCTAAAAGATAGAAGTAGTTCAGTGATGCAATTTGGGGAACATGATGCAACTGAGTGGACACTAATGCTCTAGTAATCAGCAATTCAGTACTTGTACAATCAGAAATTATATTGTTTCGGGATTACACAAAGTTCATTCTTTCGTTTGGAAAACAAGCTGGCACTTCATTAAAACCTCAGGAAAGCACCCTACTTTTAAGAGCAGAAAATATAACTCCTCAATGGCAAAGCAAAAACATGATCCTCCTATCTGGTTCTCACCATTAAAGATACTAGTATGTTCAGAGAAGAATGAAAGCTAATTTCTGCCGCACAGCTCAAACTGAATAATTACGGATCTATATAACTCCCATGCACTTCAGAATATCAGAAATTAAGTGCTCATTGTAAAATTAATGTTAAGATCAACCATGCAGAAAATTATGGACAACCAGAGGTATCTTTTTCTTAGTACGAAGTACCAGAACATGCATAAATCTTATTGCAGCAGAAATACAGAAAAAAAAACAGCAAATAGGAAATGATCAAGGAAATGCTGAAAGTGCAAAAGGAACGAGTTTACCACCAAGTACAAAGGTGTTACCTTCATAGATATCAGGCTTGTCAACATGAGAAGTGATGCGGTGATAAACAGTGTTTGCTCCTCTGATGGACTTGCTTTGCTTACTGTAGAACAGCAGCAGTGTGAGCATCAAGCGCTTAATTCCCTCATAGTGTGGATCTTCTGCTCTAAGAGGAGAATCAGGAGGCAGTGCCAGTGAAGAAGGCTTGGACAGGAACATAGAATTCAGTCGGACCTATAAAAGAAAGAATTCATCCTTAACAACAGGCATATAGGAGCTACAGATATCAGTTCTAGTTATTAGTTAAGCCTTTGTAGCATGTGTGGTAGATAGGTAGTACACACTAAGTAGCGATGAATATCACTAAATGGAAAAAAAATAGTCTGTATAAGTCAGCAACAAACTTGTTGGACTTTGCAATATAATCCTTCCATTTCTCCATACATCCACACATCTTTACAGACTTGTTGGATGTTGCAATAAAAGCCTTCCATTTCTCCATACATCCACACAAAGTGCACATCTTTGTAGATCAAAAGCTTAAAAAACACATCACTTGATTTCGCCCAATTTCTTGAAAACATTCGAGTGTTGCTAGGTAGTCACAGTCCTATGAACGAAAATACTGTAGGAAATAGACGACATTTAGAAAACCTTACAAAATTTGAAATCTATCTACAATGCAGAAGGACGGAAGCACACATATCAAGCCTATGAACATATTCCATGTTGCAAATCTACGTGGTGATGGAGCAACCCAGACCTAGAATGCGTCGAGCCCAGTAGGTACTCGCAACAGCGATCCGCCCTGGAGACAGGGGCCGTTCTAATCCGCCAGATCACACTATGAGCCCACCTGAGCGCAACAATAAGCGGCAAAAATGGCATCTCAGGGATGCGAGAGCTTCGGGCCGTACCTCGGGCCTCGGGCCGGCAGAGGAGGCCGCGCTAGGGCTGTGCGACGTGGCGGCGGCCTTGGAGAAGGTCCTAGACAGAGGCTGGGGAAGAAGCGGCGGAGGCTTGGAGAAGGCCCTGGAGAGGAGGTGGGGGGCGGAGAGGCGGGATGCGACGGTGCGCCACCGCGACATGGCTTGCTTTTCTGGTTGCGCTTGGAAGCCGGCGGGCGGGGCGGTGCGGTGCGGTGGGTGAGGAGAATCGAGAGATGGTTTATGGCCGCGGACACGCCGCGCGGGGTCCAGCCACAGAGATACCCTTCTGGCCACCGACATGCGGGGCCCCTGGCCCGCATGTGTGTATGGCTGGGCGCGGTCCACCGAGCTCACGTACGCAGGCAGAACCCAAAAACCCCATCGTCGGTTTCTTTGGCTCAATTATCCCCTTCCTTCCTTCCTTCCTTCCTTGTGCTTCTTCATTCACCTGCGACTGCGAGTGAGTGCGAGTGCGAGTGCGGGGTGGGTCAAAGGCTCAAAGCAAGTGCGTGGGATTGGAGGAGAAGGAGATGGAGCTGGTGTCCTCCTCCCGCTCCACCCTATCCTCTTGCAGCCGTGAGGCCTCCCCTCCCCTCCCCTCCATCTCCATGAACGAGCTCTTCATTTGCTCATTTCTCTCGCGCTTCTTTTCTTGCAGGACTGGTTGCTCCCTCCAGGTCCAGTTCCACGACGGCATCCGCAGCTGCTAGGCGCCACGGGAAGAGGCTATTATGGTAGTAAATCATCAACTTTGTTTTACCTCACCTCTCAACAAATTTAGACCCTCCTTCTCATTTTATTTTGATTTTTTTCATGTATGTATCCCTATGTGTGTGTGTGTGTGTGTTGGTCGCTAGCCTTGCCTGTTTGGTAAACAGAGCTATTCTGCTCTAGAAAAAAAAAGAAAATACGCACATTTCATCGTTATATATTGTGTTGTATTTGACCTGATTTTGTTAATGCAAACAATCCAGTGTCTTGGGTGGAGACAGGAATGATGAGCTCAAGATCGGGAGGCGGGCGGTTCTTGCTCTGCTCCTGGCTACGCCCACACTCTCACTGCCTTTCTCCGCCCACGCCAAGACCAAGACCATAAATCCTTATGATGAAAGACGCTTGCTTCAGCAGAACAAGAAAATCCAGGAAGCCAACCGTGCACCTGATGATTTCCCAAACTTCATCAGAGAAGGTGATCATGTCCCATTATCTATGTATGTAGTACTCCCTCTGCAAAGAAATACAAGAGCCTTTAGATCAGGGATTATTTATGTTTCTTGTCCATGCATATTGTTAGATGTGTATAGTTCATTGTGTACATCCTCATTATATAAGGGGCTTTTCTGCACTTTACCACATCTGTATATGTACTGGTCATTGGCCATTAGTAAAGTCAGTTGCTCATTATCTAACATGGTATCAGTTGCTAGGCTAGCTCCCTCCTCCCGCACGTTGCAACTCCGTGCATCTCGATCCTAGCCTACTTGCCTCCGGTCGCCGCAGGCTGTCTCCGGCCATCTGGCCGCTGCCTCTCCCTCCAGCTCTGTCCGGCCCGCCTCGCTTGGCTCCTCTGGCTGCTGCGGGCGCTGCCCTTCTCGCCTCCTCCGTGCTGCGGGCGCTGCCCGCTTGGCTGCTGCTCGCCTGGTCGCTGCGGGAGCTGCGGGCTCTCGATCCCCTTTTGGATCGACCCCCCCCTCTCCGCGAGCGAGCGCTCTCTCCAACTCCTCCCGTGAGCGCGTGGGACTTTCCCACGAGCGGGCGATCGATCCATCGAGTGGGTGTTCGATCCCCTCGATCCCGCTTGATCCCGATCCAGATCGAGTTCTTCTAGGTCCGTTGACTTCAAAAAAAAACTGCAGAGAGACTTCTTCATGTCCTCTTCGGGCTATGTCGCCGTTCCTCGGTGCTCGGTGATCTTCAATGGCACCAACTATGCTGAGTTTGTGGGCTTTATGCGCATCCATATGCGTGGCCTCCTTTTGTGGGGTGTTCTCTCTGGCGAGGTCCCTTGTCCGCCATGCCCTGTTGCACCAGTGGCCCCAATCCCATCAGTGCCGCCGGTTCTTGCTGCTGATGCTTCTCAGGCTGACCGGGATGCCGCCAAGACTCTAGATGATGCTGCAGTGGATGCTTATGATCAACAGGTATCTGCATATTCTGATGCTCTTTCTGTCTACCGGGATGATCTGTCTGCTTATACTCAGTGGTGCAATGATGATGCTCGAGCTGCTGCTGTCCTCACTGCGAGTGTCCTCCCTCAGTTTGCTTCGGAGTTCATGGGCCTCGGCACTGTTGCAGCGATTTGGTCCTATCTTTGTCAGCGTTATCAGCCCTCTGGCGATGCTCTATACCTTTCTGTGGTGCGTCAGGAGCATGCTCTTCAGCAGGGTGACTCGTCTGTTGATGAGTTCTTTTCACAGTGCTCTGTCATCTGGCGTCAGCTTGACTCACTGAGGACTGTTGTTTGTGGCACTTGCCATTGCTGTCAGACTACGCGGTCTGACTTGGAGTTTCAGAGGGTTCATGAGTTCTTATCTCGTCTCCGCACCGAGTTTGAGCCCCGCCGGGCTCACTTGCTTGCTCATGGTCGTGTTCCTATCTCGGAGGTGCTTGCTGAGCTTCGTGCTGAGGAGACCCGTCTTCGCTCTGCTGGGTCAGTGTTGGCTACCCGGGCTCCTGTGTCATCTGCTCGCCTCACTGCTCCACCACTCCTACCCACTCCTTCAGGGGGGTGAGCCGTCTTCTTTATGCTGAGAAGAGTACGTCGCGCCGTGACACTTTTTGCGGTTACTGCTCCCGGTCAGGTCACCCAGAGTCTGATTGTCGCCAGAAGAAGCGAGACCAGAGACGCTCCTCTTCCAGTGGCACTCCTGTATCTTCCTCGACTCAGTCACTCACTGACCAGGACATTGTACGCCTCAAGCGTCTATTTGCCTCCTCTGGCTCCTCGTCGACTGGTTCAGCTGCTGCTATGACTGCACCCCCTTCTACACCACCACAGGCCTCTACACAGTCAGGTACATCCTCGTGGGTTCTGGATTCTGGAGCTTCCTTTCATATGTCTTCTGATTCTTCTGTGCTGTCTTCTCTCCGACCTCTTGATTCACCTGTTAATGTTCTTACCGCCGAGGGCACATGGGATCTGGTTCCCCTCCCTTCCGGTGTCCGTCCCATCACCTGCAAGTGGGTCTACAAGGTTAAGACTCGCTCCGATGGTTCTCTTGAGCACTACAAAGCTCGTCTTGTGGCTCGTGGTTTTCAGCAGGAGCAGGGGCGCGATTATGATGAGACATTCGCTCCTGTGGCCACATGACCACTGTCCGCACTCTTCTTATTGTGGCTTCTGTTCGCCAGTGGTCTATCTCTCAACTTGATGTTCAGAACGCCTTTCTCAATGGTGAGTTGCGTGAGGAGGTTTATATGCAGCCACCACCGGGGTACTACGCTCCTGATGGTATGGTCTGTAGACTTCGCCGCTCCCTCTATGGTCTTAAACAGGCTCCTCATGCCTGGTTTGAGCGCTTCGCCTCTGTGGTGACTGCAGCTGGTTTCTTGCCCAGTGATCATGATCCCGAGTTGTTTGTTCACACGTCTCCTCGTGGTCAGACTCTTCTCCTCCTCTATGTTGATGACATGATCCCGAGTGATCATGATCCCGAGTTGTTTGTTCACACGTCTCCTCGTGGTCGGACTCTTCTCCTCCTCTATGTTGATGACATGATCATCACTGGTGACGACTGTGACTATATTGCCTTTGTTAAGGCTCGCCTTCGCGATCAGTTCCTCATGACTGATCTTGGTCCACTTTGCTACTTTCTTGGGATTGAGATCTCCTCGACCTCTGATGGCTTCTACATCTCCCAAGAAAAATATATTCAGGATCTTCTTGCTCGCGCTGCTCTTGGTGATGAGCGTACAGTTGTGACTCCTATGGAGCTCAACGTTCAGCTTCGTGCCTCTGATGGTGACCCTCTTCCTAATCCCACTCGCTATCGTCATCTTGTTGGCAGTCTTGTCTATCTTGCCGTTACGCGTCCTGACATCTCCTATCCTGTCCACATCCTGAGTCAGTTTGTTTCGCCCCCACCTCTGTCCACTATAGTCATCTCCTCCGTGTTCTACGATATCTTCGTGGCACGATCTCTCAACGCCTTTTCTTTCCCCGCTCCAGCTCTCTTGAGCTCCAGGCCTACTCTGATGCTACCTGGGCCAGTGATCCCTCTGATCGACACTCGTTGTCTGCTTACTGTGTCTTTCTTGGTGGCTCTCTTATTGCCTGGAAGACAAAGAAGCAGACTGCAGTTTCTCGCTCAAGCACAGAGGATGAGTTGCGAGCCATGGCTATGTTGACGGCTGAGGTGATCTGGTTACGGTGGTTACTTGAGGATTTTGGTGTGTCTGCTACTACCTCCACTCCTCTACTCTCTGACAGCACCGGTGCTATCAATATTGCGCGTGACCCGGTGAAGCATGAGCTCACCAAGCACATCGGTGTGGATGCCCACTTTGTGCGTGCTGCTGTGCAGGATCACACTCTCGCTCTTCACTATGTGCCCTCGGAGTTACAGTTGGCTGACTTCTTCACGAAGGCACAGACTCGAGCACAGCATGGGTTTTTCCTCTCCAAACTCAGTGTTGTTGATCCACCATGAGTTTGAGGGGGGGGGGGTGTTAGATGTGTATAGTTCATTGTGTACATCCCCATTGTATAAGGGGCTTTTCTGCACTTTGCCACATCTGTATATGTACTGGCCATTGGCCCTCAGTAAAGTCAGTTGCTCATTATCCAACACATATACCTAGCCTGACGGTAGCGCGGGTTATCTTCAGCCGATTTGGGTGGCGAGCTAATAATAGGCTAAGTGTGTAGGCATCGTAGCTTATTTTTATATTGCCGGATGTGGCACTTTTTCAGTCTTATATCACCAGGTGTGGCGCTTTCCAGTTTTATTTACTTTCGACTACTGCTCACTATGAGCATCTTTGGACCTTATGACCTTATTACGTTTTTATTTAATAATATGGCTGCATGCATCGATTGATGCAGAGGCCGGGGGTACTCCTTCTTTTCCAAAAAAGTGCATATACCTAGCCTGCCTCAACTGGTTTGGTTGTCACCACCAAAATTCTTTTGGATATAGGCTGCAACTCAATTTACTTGATTCCAAACTATGCAAGCTAATTTTTCACTTGCACAAATATCTATGGATTTCCTTTTCCAAAAAATATATTATCGATGGATTTATTTGTAGCCTTCTTTTTGTGCCTACCGTATACGCTTGTTCATTTGCAAGTCAGATGCAAGTTTCGGATCATCAGCATTTTACACTTCAGTCAGTTGGTGTTTCGTTATTCAGGGTATCATTGTTGATATGGTTTTTGTTTCTATCTGCTAATTCTGCAACCCGGATGACTAATTAAATATCACGCTATATATTGACTAAATGCATTTCAGGTTTTCAGGTCAAAGTAGTGACACCCGACAACTACATAACTCGGGACTCCGGATTAATATATGAGGACGTCAAAGTTGGTACAGGCGATTGCCCAAAGGATGGTCAGCAGGTTATTCCCTGAATTATACTCCCTCCGTAAAGAAATATAAGAGCGTTTAGATCGGGAGTAACATATTTATGTCTGTCTGATCTCTTTTCGAAACGAAAAAAATGTGTGTGATCTGGCATTCATGTTTTCTTTTTTTGGATAGGAATTAACTGTTTGTTATTTCATGTTTATTTTCTTGTGTGTGAACACGTTTCACGTAATTTGTCAATCTCGTTCTCATGTTTTTTTGTTAAGCATGGACCAGCTGGTTCTTCCATTGTTATTATAATATACCACTAAAGGATGATTAGGGATATTGGGTAATAATGTTGCATTTACATTTTCACTAACAGAAGTCTAAAGCAAAATAAGTAATTTTAATTTTATTTCTTTGTAAATTGGTGACTAATATAGGGAACTACATTTAGTTTATAAATATTTGCAGCATATGTTATTGTTCTATTCTTCTTGTGCGATACTGACTTCCATCCGCCAAATTACAGGTTATATTTCACTATGTGGGCTACAACGAATCAGGACGAAGGATAGATAGCACCTACATCCAGGGTTCGCCTGCCAAAATTCGACTAGGCAACAAATCATTAGTTCCAGGAAAGTATTCACTAGTTACATGATATGTCCTCCTTTGGTCTTCTGGAATGTTGAACACCGGACTGAACTATGCCTAGCTATGTCAATAATATTCTAAACTGGGGCTGGGCTTGCAAAACTATCCTCGGCCTGGTTATTCTGATGAACTTCTCGCCTTCTCAAGACATATCGTTGTAACACCACAACTTATTTCAGGCTCTCTTGATGCAGGTTTTGAAGAGGGGATTCGGGACATGAAGCCAGGGGGGAAGAGAAGACTAATTATACCTCCTGAGCTTGGTCCTCCTGTAAGTGACTGTCATCTCTTGCATGGCAGCATTTTTCACTTGTTGACTTCTTGTGTAGTTTAAGATTAGTGTGCTGATGATGCTAATGGTAAACAAGACGACTGTTTACGAAGAAACAACAAGGGAAAAATATCTAGTTATATAGGAACCAAAATAATTTCATAGATCCCACTGAACCAGCTTATAGTGGCTGCAGCTCAGATCTTTACTCATCTGCGATGCTGCCTCATACGGACATCCTTGGCATAAGAATAGAGTACCAATCACTGTCAAGAGCAAATATGGTACACAGTTTCTGACATATATGTTTTGTTTGCTGAAGGTTGGGCCATCGACGTTCTTTAGCGCGAAACAGTTTGAAGTATTCGACGTCGAGCTACTCTCAGTGCAGGACTGCCAGCGGAGGACAATAGCTTTCTACTCTGATGTTGTCTGCACTTGATCATCTGGTCTGTTAGTCCCGACCGGTGCAGCATTCTCCTCCTACAACCCTGTAGGAAAATATTGTTAGCTATTGTTTTTCGTGAAAACGCAGGGGACCCATGCGTTTCATGCCATTGAAAAGAGAGAGTTTGTAATTACAATCCTTCTAGGAGGTGGTTTCAGACATCAAGTAGATGCTAGTGCACATCCCATGTGGTGGGCAGCACAACTCTAAGCCCAGCAGCGCCAGCAGTAGTCCAGAGCCTGGCTTCGGCTTTGATCCTACTCACTAAGGTGTGAACGGACGGTTGCGCGCGGTCGAAGATGCAGTCGTTTCTGTGTTTCCAAATCATCCAGGATGTCAGAAGCGTCGCGGATGGAAGCCCC